AAAAAAAAAAAGGTCAACAGGTGTAGCAGTCCAACCGACTCGTGGACTGTCCGGACGGTAGCACTGTCATTTAGACGCCTATGCACTGATCGAAAATAAACATACATGCATACACTGTAATTTACTATGTGGAGAACACTCATTTTATCTGTAAAGTTGATTGCAACGAATTGTGCAACAAATGAACTTGCCAAGACAGACTATAAAAAATTAATTTTCTATGTAATATTCTTAATTGCAAAGAAGCCAAATCTGGCAATGTTGCTCAGAACTGACTAAAGCGCCACTTGTAATCGTCCAATGCGCCAAGTTTGGCGCATGCGCCACGGTTTGGCCACCCCTGCCCTACTGCCTACTGAGAATCATTAAATTGTGTGTTCTTATTAAATTGATTTTGATTTTTCTCAATGGTTTGATGATTATACATATGCACACACCCAAAACACATGAAAAATTTACGACTTAAAAGAATATTAATTAATAAAATATCTTTAGTAGTATTCATAAATTCCAAAATTTCTAGTTTCCTCGATTAGATCTTAGGCCATCAAAAGCGGTATCTGACGGCAGGATTATTGGGAAGAACAGACTACTGTATTTGAAAAAAATATATACATTTCTACCAGGGCTGTGGAGTCGGAGTCGGAGTCGGAGTCAGGAGGAATTTCTGGCTAGAGGAGTCGGAGTCGGAGTCGGAGTCGGAGTCGGGTGTTTTTTTACCGACTCCGCAGCCCTGATTTCTACCTTAAGTCAACTTCTCCCCCCTGTACGAACACCAAGAGGGTCCCTTTTTTGCTTGTCCATCATGAGTTCGGCCAGGTTCACAATGACGGCGACTGAATGAGAAATTGCTTAACCTTTCGACCATCTAGCCGCGCGACGTGGTAAAACACTTCGACTGTTTTAAGGACTAGAGTCGACTTAAGTTTTCAGAAATTGGTTGATTCGAATATGGACGCGTTGCATAGTAAAGTGGCTTTAAAATAGCCGAATATGCAAACCAATGACATAGTTCGTTTCGCTTGAAACACTACGTTAAAATGCTTTGTTAGAACTCGTAGCCTGGTAAATCGGCTTTCTCTGTTCTTTCAATATCTTGCCGCCTCCATTATGGGAATGACTGAAACTGTGATGAATAGGGAAATGTCTCCAGTTCTTCTCAGAGTGAAGAATCAGAAATGAGAACTGAATTTCAGAGAAAGTCGTTTTTAAATTAACTGAGAAATTCTAACTACAGAGAAGAGTAATTTCTCATAACGTTGACGTAGCAAATATTTCACGGTACTGTATAAATATTTGATATTAAATACGAGGATGCAATTATTTGTGGGCATTCTATTAATGAGTTTTGCTTTTATATGAAGTTAGTTAATCTTTCGCGGTTATTTGTGATTCAAATTTAGATCAATTACTAATTAATAAAAATTTCCTAAATG